TCTGACTACGTTACGTGGACGATACTTTTGTCATCCTAAAGCGCTCGAAACTGGAAGAAACACATCAGTTAATAAACAACACGTTTACTGGCATCCGTTTCACTAAAGAAGAGGAGAACATTGGTCAGCTACCATTCTTCGATGTGTTAGTAAAAAGACATGCTGCTGGACAACTGAAGACAACATTTTATCGGAAAGCGACGCATACAGACCAAATCCTGAATTATCGCAGCAATCATCCAACAGTCCACAAGCGCAGCTGCGTAGAAACTCTATTTAATAGAGCGCAGGCACATTGCAGCACCCCGCAGCTGAGGAAAGCCTTGGGAGATCATCTATTCGAAATGTTTACACGGAATGGGTATCCTAGGAATTTCATTCTACGCTGTTTAACATCAATAAAGCGACCGACACTTGAACAAACCTCAGAAAAGGATAAAAAGATAATCATTTTATCATACATAAATGGTGTCTCTGAGATGGCGGCGGGACTGCTACTACCTTTCGGAATCAGGGTTGCTCAAAAGCCGACGGAAACCATCCGAGACAAACTCTTCAAAGTAAGGACCGGCTTGACAAAGAAGAAACAAGTGGCGTTATTTATGAAATGCACTGCAAATATTGCAACAAATACCATTTGGGCCGGACAGGAAGAAATCTCCGTACTTGGCTGCATGAGCATAGCCTATGCATCCGCCGACATGAGCGGAACTCTCTGATGCCAGTAGAAATGAACGCCGAGAATTATCATTTTGATTTGGAGAACGTCAGGATCATAGCAAATCAAAATAGTCGAAAAGCACGTGGGTTCATCGAGGCTTGGTACTCTGGAAAGATCTTAATCAACCAACAGTTAGATCTTGATACTGCCTATGAAGCACTGAGGGTTAAAACAATACTCTGCCGCATGTCAAAGAGACAAAGGAACATAATTGAGGCGGACTCTAGCTAATAGTACTCAAGGGTTGACTACACGGTCAGCTCACGTGGACCAATAGGCTCCTGTCGTTCGAATCAAGTGATCAATAATCACTTGGATCTGCAAGTGGTTCGCATAAATCGCACTGTTGATGTCGTCTAGCCTGACGATGAAACGGCTGCAACCAAATCAACCAGCTCGGAGAACGCCCGCCTGCCCTCCTCCGCATTCCGATCTACAAATATTCTCACGGATTTCTTATACCTTTGATCCTCTGGTATCGGTTGTCATCCATACGGAGTCTACGGTCTCTACGGTGATAATGCTTTCCGTTTTTGCTAAGTATGTTTGTTGTAGGTATTTAGCCCTTCCTCCTGATCATTTGTCTATGCGAGATTGCTTATACGGTTGATGTCCAGGGAGTGTGTGAGTACCAACTAAATGCATGGTGCGAAGCACGTTTCGGTGACGAAAATTGTGTCCGTGCAGTAAGGATGACTGTTGGACGCAGAACTTGCAGCTTATTAATAAGTGACCTGGCGTTGATAAGCATGAGTGAGAAGGCAATGCCGGAGTCGCTTAGCTTTAGATGATGTGAAGCAGTCACTGCTTGCTACGGATTCTTCTAGAAGAGATGCAGGAGTGGGTGAGCAGACTTAGGGGCGGGTTGTTCGGTAAACACTTGTTGGGCGTCGCAATGTGCTCGTTCCGGCTCATCACCACCTAATCTAACTGGCTCTCGTTGTGGGGTGGTACCAAGTGAATTGATTGGCTAATATGTCTGATCCAGTTGCTTCCTACTGTAGGATGAAGCCGTTGTATTGATCTGAAATTATGCGGTCCTGTTTATGGGCACATGAAGCGCTACCGGCCAGGGTGCTAAACGTGGGTGCATTGTTTAATTTAAGTGAACGGCTGATCACTTCCTCATTGATCAAGGCAGATGGTAGCATGCCGTATTTTGGCAGCCTGCAGATACAGCTGCTATTCTAAGCACTCACAGATAAACAGCCCTCCTTAAACTGAACAACCACCACAGTAAAACTGAGTCCATTTCACCTTTAGCGTTAGCAAACGGAATGCAAGCATTCCAGTATGACGCAGAGAACGCTGTCACTTTTTAGTTGGGTGCAGGAAGTATGAATTCGTCTTTCTGGTTGACATGATCACGCTTGATGATCTACGGTTGTTATACCGGAAGCTTGGTGCAAATGATCACAAGTATTGTATATTGCCGTGTATAAGCCGAGGAATTTTGGACACTTTCTGTCTGTGGTGGGGTCGGTTTATAAAACTAAATATATAAATAAATGGTATATTCTCGGCAAAACGAGACACACCTGTAAATGCGTGATCAACGGTTATGCACCTTTTGAAAAAACCACATGCAATATCCACCCGGAAATTCAGTGCACACATAAGTCCCTATCTTGCCTTAGCACCACTCGCTAGTGACAGACGATATCCCAGGCGGGGATTTGAAGTGCCTATACGCAGCCACACTCGGCTTGGGTCAAAACTTCTCGTTCTATTGCATATTGGACTTTTACGACGGATGGTAGTAACAGGAATATAATACTTATACAAAAGCGCACATCATCGCAAACAATAACATTGAAAAAGACATGCCGCCACAACACGTACCGCCAGCTTTTATACTCCTACCTATCCAAACGCTACACAATGCTATTAAAATTACGCGAATCCCTCGCAACTGTAGTCCGTCCGAATCTCCAAACCGTTTCTGATTTTAATCGACTCTCCTTGGCACGTCAGGATGAATACCGTCAACTATTCTGTTAAAATGTCGTTCTGATTGTTCTTAGCTCTATTTACTGAGATCATAACTTAGTAAGTCGCCAGAACTGACCAATAGTAGCGTAACTTTCACCTGAGCACACTCATGTGACAGCAGGTGGTGCAAAAGTCAAAATCGTGAGAAACGATATGGTTCCTAATTTTTCTGATTTTTGGGGGCGGGTTAAAATACAACCTTACGATGCTGGACAAATTTGAAGCTGCAGAGTCATACTGTCGGTTTATACACACTAATATACGGTACTGTAAGTTATTCTACCAAAAGATCCCCGCAAGTGTGATTCCTAGGGTCTGTCGATGATCTCACTTCCATTGCTGGTGAGCGACCTACAAATTTCAGCCTCCGTTATCAGTTCTGCTGGCGAAAACACAATCCGAGGAATATTTTCCTACGCTGGTACGATGTACGTTCCATACGAAACCTTTATGCTCAATCAACTTTAGACGATCAGTTCAAGTTACTCATTTTTGTATCTGGCCCAACTTTGCATCTGGCACAGAAGTCAGATCAAGTCTGTCATCCAACCTGGATGCATATCCAGAGCACATCATTCAGTAGGTTACAGCAATGTGTCAGCCTCTGGTCAACGTAAAGGTAACGCAACCGTATGGTTGAGACAACTGAAAGCATAGGTTGTGCTGGTTGATAAAACTTATAACCGAACACCAACAGGTAGCTGTAACACTGCATGACAGTGACCCAACGTGTTTGTTGGAATTGTGGGAACTGGCATTCTGTCAGAAACTGCCTGTTCATCAGTCACCAGCGCACTGTCTACCACAAGCAATGTCATTAAGAAACGTATTGCCGATCGGTTAATTTTTGCTTGTTGTAAGTATCACTTGTGTTATGCTTCTTCGTTCACTGGAATTATTTCATGGAAAATTTTGATACCATTCAGTTTCGCTGTTGATTGAGTTTTGACACTTGAAATACTTGTGTATCACCACCTGGGTTCAGCAGTTTTGCTATCGCCGTTTTCTCCAGCAATTGGTCGTTACCCTATTTTCGGATAATGCACAATGCCGAAATAATACCTTTGTAGTAATTGTTCTAAAATAGCCGGATAGGGTGCAGATGTCCTCACATTAGCTTTGCGTCGTTAACTACCACATATTTCACATGTTGGATTACACTTGAGCAGTTTTAGTTCTTCGTGAAATCCAACACGAGTTGGTTCAAAACTTTTGTGAAAATTGCCGAAACAAGATACAGCCAGAAAGGGGAAATCCGATGTGTACGCTACATCGTACCATTACGAACAGCTCCGTTTATTTGGCCCCAAAACCTAGCCTGAAGTGCCTACCGGTTTTCGCTCAGTCTTCCTCCCCTGCCAGTGAAAACTCACTGGCAGGCAGTCCAAGGGTCTTGAGAAGCCTAGTTTCACCTGGTACAAATTGTATACCTGTGTTGTGTCCTACTGACATAGGTGTCCTAATAGGTTTAAGCCTGAATGCTGAAGACCAGTGAAAAGTAAAAGGGACGAGTTCACAAAAGTAAGCTGGGCGTTTAACTTCTCTGTCAGTTGCTAGCTAAATCACGTGAGGCTCGTAATATACATCGTTATGGAAAATCAACCGCCTCCGACCACGAACGTTATTATCACGAGATCTTCCAGGCGACGGAGTTCAGTGATCCATCCTCCCACATGCGCAACGATCACGATGTCGAGGTTTACTTATTCTAATTGACAGCCTCCTCGACGTTGGGGATGTCTCGGTAAAATTGGGGCAACTTACCCATCTTGGCAAGCAAGGTGACTAACAAGATCGGCCTATGCTAATCACTTGTGATCAAAGCCAGTCCAAGACTGAACTTTACCCGTCTAAACGGGCTGAAGTGTTTAAAGATCCATGTTCGTCCAGACCTGGACGCCGTTCCGGGAATGGCTAAAGTTTGCCGGCTCTGAGCAGAAAAAACATACTGGTGAGAGGGAAACAAATATCCATATTGTAGATTTTTGGGTGGTTTCCAAGATCCTGCGAATCAAGATAAACGGGCTGGTCATACTTCTAGCAAGCCCAACGTCTCCTGCTGGCGGATGCGTATAGACTTTACCAACGCTTGCAGTGTTAGTGAACAATCATGCTGGGCTCTGTCGGCGCGGGACATCCCAAACCCTGGATAGTGCTTGACGCTACTGCTCCCGGGTCGTTTGGAATAATCCTCTACATCTCTAACTTCCCGCAGCGTAGCAATTGTACATTCATTCAGACCAGATGTGCCAGCCCTAAACAGTGATCCAACATTCGTAGAAGTATCTGTTGTATCTACACGTACACTAGTCCCCTGCACGCAGGGTCTTGAACAAGCACGACCAAAGCCCCGAACGAGGAAGCAGAACTCTACTGGTACGCAACACAAACTTCTATTCACGCCAACGGTACATACACTCAGTATATTCAAAACAACCCTGGTATTGATCGCGAACGGACAGGCATCCAATCACAAGCTACGAAGTGCGGTCGTGGTAAGGCCCGCGCGTACGCGCTGCCACACTACTCCCCCTCTTCAGCGGTTGGTTCACTGCGGTGGCCCTCGTTTCAGGACATTGCTTCGGTTGAAGTGCTGAATATAGCTGTCTGGCGTTGACTCGTCGGCCGTCTGCTAACTCATAAGTTCCTGGCCCTAGCGCACGAGTAATTCTGATGGGTCTCGTCAGTGCCGGTTCTCCTTTACGTGTTTGCCTCTCCTTTAGCCTGACCAACGTTCCAGGACGCAGCGATGTGGCCCGTTTTTCGTAGGATGACTGATAACCCCGGCGACGTTCCAGTTGGTGGGGGTCGTTGTTTTCTGCAGCCGAAATAGCTGCGTTTAATTTCGTACGCAACTTCCTGCCAAACATCAGCTCACCTGGCGTGCGATCAGTCGCTCTGTGGTGCGATGTTCGGTGAGTAAACAGAGCCTCCAAAACGGCATCTTCCCACTGCCTGCCGGACAAACGTGCTGTCTGTATAGTTTCCTTTAGCGTGCGATTAGTGCGCTCAACCATGCCGTTGGCAGCTGGGTTGTACGGGACAGTATGTACGTGCTTCACATCACGAAGTTGTAAGAAACGTTTAAACTCATAGTTCGTGAATTGTGGTCCGTTGTCTGTCACAATTTCCTCAGGAAACCCAAATCTAGCAAACAGATGTTTCAGCCACCGTATAACGGTTGAGGTGGTCACATCGCCACACAAATGGATTTCCGGCCACTTACTGTAATAGCACGTGGCAACTAAGCAGTTCCTCTGGTGCTGTGGCGCAGAATGAAACGGTCCCATGATGTCAATCGCCACCTTCGACCAAGGTTTCATTGGATAAGTAACAGGTTGGATGGGGGCATCGATTGGTTTGGAGCTCTTGTCGGCCTTCTGACATGCATCGCAAGACCGGACACACGCCTCTGCCATTTTATTCATTTTTGGCCACCAAAAGTATTCTTGAAGTCGGCGCTTCGTCCGTACGATACCCGGATGTCCCTCGTGTGCACATTGGATAATTTTTGATGTCAGTTTCTGTGGAGCTACGAATCGCGATCCTCGCATAAGGCAATCATCAACGACCGCTAGCTCATGTCGTAAAACATAAAACGCCCGTAGTTCACCACTCAACTTCGCGTAGCGAGGCCAGCCTTGAGAGAGATAGTGAATGACATCTTGCACATATGAATCACTCCGGTTAGCTTCTTGAAGCTCTTGTTTAGTAACCGCGGAGAGCTCACTTGATTGTAAAGCAGAAATCATGACTTTTTCTTCGTCGTCTTCATTCTTGTCGGAATCATCCAATGGGAGACGTGATAAGCTATCTGCCATACGGTTCTCGGAGCTAGGGCGGAAGATGATTTGAAAATCATAGTTCAGTAACCGCGCATACCAGCGGTTAATCCGTAGTGGCCTGTGACCATTGGTTCCTCGGCTGAGGAGGGTAGTTAGAGCAGCATGATCCGTGCGCAATGTAAATCTCCGACCAAACAGAAACAGGTGCCATTTTTCACAGGCCCATACACAGGCAAGGGCCTCCCTTTCACCTGCGGAATATGAAACTTCAGTAGGGGATAACTTTCTAGAAGCATATGCAATCACTTTTTCCTCACCGTTCTGAATTTGAGACAAGACCGCTCCTAAACCGATGTTTGACGCATCCGTTGAGACGAATGTTGGGCAGTTTTCGTCGAAAATGGCCAGCATTGGGGTGGAGACGAGGCGTCTTTTAATTTCTTCAAAGGCCGACTGCTGCGAAGAGCCCCAATCGAACGTAGCTTTTTCTTTTGTCAGCATTCTCAATGGCTCCGCTATAGTTGCAAAATCGGGCAAATAGCGCAAGTTGTACGAGCATAAACCAAGAAAGTGCTTAACCTCGGATGTATTCTTCGGTACAGGGGCTTCCGTGATAGCTCGAGTATTAGCTGCGCATGGTCTAATTCCACCAGCTGATAAGACGTACCCAAGAAACTCGACATCCGTAGCACAAAATATACACTTTTCCAGGTTTAGCCGAAGATCTAGGCTCTCCAATCGCTGCAACACAGCGCGCAGCCTTGAGTCGTGCTCATCTCTTGATTTCCCGAAAACGCATATATCATCCATGTAAGCGATTTGTCCCGGTAGATCTGCTAGTGAGTGATTCATAAACTTCTGCCAAGCTGCTGGAGCGGAGCTAAGTCCCATCGGCAAGACTTTGTACTGGAATAGACCACTCGATGTCAGAAAAGCCGTAAGTGGTCTGGATTCTGGTGTCAATGGCATGTGGAAAAAGGCCTTCCTCAGGTCTAGTTTTGAGAAAAATCGCGCGCCAGTTATCTTGACCAACAACTCGTCAACTGTGGGAAGAACGAATTTTTCGACGACGATCTGACTGTTCAACGCTTTCAAGTCGTTGCATATGCGCACAGTACCGTCCTTCTTTAACACCGTGACCATGGGATGCACCCATTCGGAACAGTTAACTGGCTCTATCAAATCGTTGGAAATCATCTCTTGTATGGCCTTTTCTACCATCGTACGTTTGGCCAATGGAATAGGACGTGGCTGCGAAATCGAAAACGGTTTAGCGTCCTTTTTAAGGCATATTCGATGAGCAGCAGATGGAATCCGGCCAATCGACTCAGTAAATAATTTGGGATATAAGCTTTTAAGTACTGATGTTTTGAGTGTCATGATGCGCATTCGCTCGATAGATGGTGTTATGTTGAGGGCAACCATAGCATTTCGCCCCAGCAAGGCTGGACTGTCTTCGGAGGCAACATACACAGCAACATCAGATGCGACTGAGAGTAAACTGAGTTTCGTCATTATATATCCCCGAATTTGCACACGTGAATTTGTGTACGATTCGAATTTATACGACGTAGGATGTAATGGAATGTCTTGCAGGTAATTGTCGTAAATGCTGGACGGGATAATTGTTATCGGCGATGCCGAGTCTAGCTCCATAGTCACTGGTACAGAAGTGTTAAGCCCATGGAGTGTAACGGTACGTATGTCAGGAGCAGGGAGCTTGGGTTCCAGCGAAGCAATTCGTCGTGTTTCTGGTTGTAATCGTCTTCTGATAGAAAAAACATTCGGTGTAGTCGGTGAGGTGGAAACATCATTTTGTTGGTCAATTAACGCGACTCGACGCGAGCGGCAGCATCTGGCGAAGTGGCCCAGTTTACCACAGCTTTTACACTCAGCTGTACGAGCCGGACATGTTTGACAGTCAGCTTTGTGGCGAGAACTCCCACATCTATAGCACGAAACAGTCGAATTCTGAGGTTGACTGGAACCCTTGTGCTGAATCTTACTGACTTCTAGTATATCACTCGACTTGAATAGGCTCGAATGTTCAACGGCGGCTTTTATTAGTCTTGCGATCTCTATGGCTCTCTCCCAGGTAAGTTTTGACGGATCTTCGGAAAGTAGCTTTTCGCGTATACGATTATCCTTTATACCGGTTATCAACTGCTGCGTCAGCATAACACTCTCAAGTTTATTCTTCGGGATGCTAGTGTAGTCACAGGTTTTTACAGACCGAATTAAACGAGCGACAAATTGTTCCAGTGGCTCTGCATCTTCTTGCCTCAAACAGCAGAACTTGTAGCGTTCAGCGAAAATGTTTGGCCGTGCACCCCATGACTGATCGAGTACATCCAATGCCTTTGTAAGTGTGTCGAATTTCTGCAGATCTAACGCATCGAAATAACGTTGACCTTCATTGCCCAACAGGTGACGAAGTAGTTTCAGTTTTTGCTTCTCATCGTAAGTAGTAGTTGCTGGGAGTAGGTCCAAGTAATTCGTGAAAGACGTTCTCCATTGGATCCAATCACTCTCCGTAGGTCTAGTAGCAGGATCGCACCAAAAGGCTTCTGGAGGTAGTAGGTGAAATGCCATTGTAATGGTCCACAGCCCGCGACGCCACTGTTGTATCTACACGTACACTAGTCCCCTGCACGCAGGGTCTTGAACAAACACGACCAAAGCCCCGAACGAGGAAGCAGAACTCTACTGGTACGCAACACAAACTTCTATTCACGCCAACGGTACATACACTCAGTATATTCAAAACAACCCTGGTATTGATCGCGAACGGACAGGCATCCAATCACAAGCTACGAAGTGCGGTCGTGGTAAGGCCCGCGCGTACGCGCTGCCACACTACTCCCCCTCTTCAGCGGTTGGTTCACTGCGGTGGCCCTCGCTTCAGGACACTGCTTCGGTTGAAGTGCTGAATATAGCTGTCTGGCGTTGACTCGTCGGCCGTCTGCTAACTCATAAGTTCCTGGCCCTAGCGCACGAGTAATTCTGATGGGTCTCGTCAGTGCCGGTTCTCCTTTACGTGTTTGCCTCTCCTTTAGCCTGACCAACGTTCCAGGACGCAGCGATGTGGCCCGTTTTTCGTAGGATGACTGATAACCCCGGCGACGTTCCAGTTGGTGGGGGTCGTTGTTTTCTGCAGCCGAAATAGCTGCGTTTAATTTCGTACGCAACTTCCTGCCAAACATCAGCTCACCTGGCGTGCGATCAGTCGCTCTGTGGTGCGATGTTCGGTGAGTAAACAGAGCCTCCAAAACGGCATCTTCCCACTGCCTGCCGGACAAACGTGCTGTCTGTATAGTTTCCTTTAGCGTGCGATTAGTGCGCTCAACCATGCCGTTGGCAGCTGGGTTGTACGGGACAGTATGTACGTGCTTCACATCACGAAGTTGTAAGAAACGTTTAAACTCATAGTTCGTGAATTGTGGTCCGTTGTCTGTCACAATTTCCTCAGGAAACCCAAATCTAGCAAACAGATGTTTCAGCCACCGTATAACGGTTGAGGTGGTCACATCGCCACACAAATGGATTTCCGGCCACTTACTGTAATAGCACGTGGCAACTAAGCAGTTCCTCTGGTGCTGTGGCGCAGAATGAAACGGTCCCATGATGTCAATCGCCACCTTCGACCAAGGTTTCATTGGATAAGTAACAGGTTGGATGGGGGCATCGATTGGTTTGGAGCTCTTGTCGGCCTTCTGACATGCATCGCAAGACCGGACACACGCCTCTGCCATTTTATTCATTTTTGGCCACCAAAAGTATTCTTGAAGTCGGCGCTTCGTCCGTACGATACCCGGATGTCCCTCGTGTGCACATTGGATAATTTTTGATGTCAGTTTCTGTGGAGCTACGAATCGCGATCCTCGCATAAGGCAATCATCAACGACCGCTAGCTCATGTCGTAAAACATAAAACGCCCGTAGTTCACCACTCAACTTCGCGTAGCGAGGCCAGCCTTGAGAGAGATAGTGAATGACATCTTGCACATATGAATCACTCCGGTTAGCTTCTTGAAGCTCTTGTTTAGTAACCGCGGAGAGCTCACTTGATTGTAAAGCAGAAATCATGACTTTTTCTTCGTCGTCTTCATTCTTGTCGGAATCATCCAATGGGAGACGTGATAAGCTATCTGCCATACGGTTCTCGGAGCTAGGGCGGAAGATGATTTGAAAATCATAGTTCAGTAACCGCGCATACCAGCGGTTAATCCGTAGTGGCCTGTGACCATTGGTTCCTCGGCTGAGGAGGGTAGTTAGAGCAGCATGATCCGTGCGCAATGTAAATCTCCGACCAAACAGAAACAGGTGCCATTTTTCACAGGCCCATACACAGGCAAGGGCCTCCCTTTCACCTGCGGAATATGAAACTTCAGTAGGGGATAACTTTCTAGAAGCATATGCAATCACTTTTTCCTCACCGTTCTGAATTTGAGACAAGACCGCTCCTAAACCGATGTTTGACGCATCCGTTGAGACGAATGTTGGGCAGTTTTCGTCGAAAATGGCCAGCATTGGGGTGGAGACGAGGCGTCTTTTAATTTCTTCAAAGGCCGACTGCTGCGAAGAGCCCCAATCGAACGTAGCTTTTTCTTTTGTCAGCATTCTCAATGGCTCCGCTATAGTTGCAAAATCGGGCAAATAGCGCAAGTTGTACGAGCATAAACCAAGAAAGTGCTTAACCTCGGATGTATTCTTCGGTACAGGGGCTTCCGTGATAGCTCGAGTATTAGCTGCGCATGGCCTAATTCCACCAGCTGATAAGACGTACCCAAGAAACTCGACATCCGTAGCACAAAATATACACTTTTCCAGGTTTAGCCGAAGATCTAGGCTCTCCAATCGCTGCAACACAGCGCGCAGCCTTGAGTCGTGCTCATCTCTTGATTTCCCGAAAACGCATATATCATCCATGTAAGCGATTTGTCCCGGTAGATCTGCTAGTGAGTGATTCATAAACTTCTGCCAAGCTGCTGGAGCGGAGCTAAGTCCCATCGGCAAGACTTTGTACTGGAATAGACCACTCGATGTCAGAAAAGCCGTAAGTGGTCTGGATTCTGGTGTCAATGGCATGTGGAAAAAGGCCTTCCTCAGGTCTAGTTTTGAGAAAAATCGCGCGCCAGTTATCTTGACCAACAACTCGTCAACTGTGGGAAGAACGAATTTTTCGACGACGATCTGACTGTTCAACGCTTTCAAGTCGTTGCATATGCGCACAGTACCGTCCTTCTTTAACACCGTGACCATGGGATGCACCCATTCGGAACAGTTAACTGGCTCTATCAAATCGTTGGAAATCATCTCTTGTATGGCCTTTTCTACCATCGTACGTTTGGCCAATGGAATAGGACGTGGCTGCGAAATCGAAAACGGTTTAGCGTCCTTTTTAAGGCATATTCGATGAGCAGCAGATGGAATCCGGCCAATCGACTCAGTAAATAATTTGGGATATAAGCTTTTAAGTACTGATGTTTTGAGTGTCATGATGCGCATTCGCTCGATAGATGGTGTTATGTTGAGGGCAACCATAGCATTTCGCCCCAGCAAGGCTGGACTGTCTTCGGAGGCAACATACACAGCAACATCAGATGCGACTGAGAGTAAACTGAGTTTCGTCATTATATATCCCCGAATTTGCACACGTGAATTTGTGTACGATTCGAATTTATACGACGTAGGATGTAATGGAATGTCTTGCAGGTAATTGTCGTAAATGCTGGACGGGATAATTGTTATCGGCGATGCCGAGTCTAGCTCCATAGTCACTGGTACAGAAGTGTTAAGCCCATGGAGTGTAACGGTACGTATGTCAGGAGCAGGGAGCTTGGGTTCCAGCGAAGCAATTCGTCGTGTTTCTGGTTGTAATCGTCTTCTGATAGAAAAAACATTCGGTGTAGTCGGTGAGGTGGAAACATCATTTTGTTGGTCAATTAACGCGACTCGACGCGAGCGGCAGCATCTGGCGAAGTGGCCCAGTTTACCACAGCTTTTACACTCAGCTGTACGAGCCGGACATGTTTGACAGTCAGCTTTGTGGCGAGAACTCCCACATCTATAGCACGAAACAGTCGAATTCTGAGGTTGACTGGAACCCTTGTGCTGAATCTTACTGACTTCTAGTATATCACTCGACTTGAATAGGCTCGAATGTTCAACGGCGGCTTTTATTAGTCTTGCGATCTCTATGGCTCTCTCCCAGGTAAGTTTTGACGGATCTTCGGAAAGTAGCTTTTCGCGTATACGATTATCCTTTATACCGGTTATCAACTGCTGCGTCAGCATAACACTCTCAAGTTTATTCTTCGGGATGCTAGTGTAGTCACAGGTTTTTACAGACCGAATTAAACGAGCGACAAATTGTTCCAGTGGCTCTGCATCTTCTTGCCTCAAACAGCAGAATTTGTAGCGTTCAGCGAAAATGTTTGGCCGTGCACCCCATGACTGATCGAGTACATCCAATGCCATTGTAAGTGTATCGAATTTCTTCAGATCTAACGCATCGAAATAACGTTGACCTTCATTGCCCAACAGGTGACGAAGTAGTTACAGTTTCTGCTTCTCATCGTAAGTAGTAGTTGCTGGGAGTAGGTCCAAGTAATTCGTGAAAGACGTTCTCCATTGGATCCAATCACTCTCCGTAGGTCTAGTAGCAGGATTGCACCAAAAGGCTTCTGGAGGTAGAAGGTGAAATGCCAATGTAATGGTCCACAGCCCGCGACGTCACTGTTGTATCTACGCGTACACTAGTACCCTGCACACAGGGTCTTGAACAAGCACGACCAAAGCCCCGAACGAGGAAGCAGAACTCTACTGGTACGCAACACAAACTTCCATTCACGCCAACCGTACATACACTCAGTACATTCAAAACAACCCTGGTATTGATCGCGAACGGACGGGCATCCAATCACAAGCTACGAAGTGCGGTCGTGGTAAGG